TGTCTCCCTCCCAATCCCAACTTGTTTCATTTTTAATTGAAGTTTTACATACAAATGAAGATGAATGATGTTTATGAATGATGTTTAAAGATGAAACCTTTAAACAAAAAAACCACTAGCATCTCTGAAGTCCCTCTTCGCTCTCCTGATGTCTACTATCAAGAGTGTTTGTGTGTACTATATAAATGGTGTCATACACTATTCTTTTATGGCTTCTTTCACTGAACTTTATATTTGTTAAATTCATCCTCACTAGTTGTAGTGGCTAGTTGTACTTTGTTGTTTTTTACTGCGGTCTCATATTTTATTGTGGGACTGAACCACAGTTTTTTTAATCCATTCAACCATTAATAGGTATTTGGGCTTTTTGGGGAAGACCATTACAAATAGCGTTTCTATGGGCATTGTTACACATCACATGTCTTCTGGTGCACATGTATATAAATATTTTAAGCATAGACCTAGGAATGGAATTGTTAAATTGTAGGGTATGCCTGTGTTTAGATTTAGTAGATTCTGTGAAAGAGTTATCTAAAGAACTGATAGATACCAAGGTTCATTCTTCTCAAAAATAAACAAGAGTTCTGGTTTCTCTATGTCCTTCTCAGTACTCAATGTTGTCTTCATTTGAGTAATTTTTCATGGGTTTGTAGTGATAACGTCTTCATTTTAGAAATTTTTAGTAGGTTTGTAGTGATAATGCAATGCAGTTTGAGAGAAATCATTTAGCAGCTTTATACTATTCAACAGCTTTTTTCTATATTAATATACAAAGACATATCAATTTTTCCATTCTGCTCTAATTTTTTATTCAACATTTAACACACATAATTATTTATAACATATATATGAAGAACTACTACTGAACAAAATCACCACTGCTGAATAGAACATTATCTTTGTATAATTCTTCATCCACCTTTGAAATTCAATATTTTAAAAAATATTTTTCTTTCTTACTAATTAATCATCATTTTAACACCTATTTTGTAGTAAGATACCTTTGGAAGCAGTGGAGGTAATCGTACTTACTAGCTCAAAGTCGCCTTCCTTATTTCATTTTCTCTACTTACCCCCCTCCTATTTCTTTCCTGCCTCCCAACTGCCAAATATGTTAAAATATTTGACGGGCAAACATTTATCTGGGCATTTTCTTCCAAAATATGTATTTCACTTTTTTTGGTATACATTTTTTCTCTGTGGACCTCACACTAGTTCTTAGTTTTTTTTACTCCGCATTATACTGCAGTGTCCATGTTTCTATATGTATTGCTATGGAGTTTTCCATAATGTGCACCTATCACAGGTAACTTATCTGTTCCCTCAGTGATGGTTACCACCTATATTGCTCCAGCTTCTTGCTACCCCTTTGGGGACATAATGTACCTCTTTGTACTGTCTCCTTATGAGTTATTGTGAAAACTTCTGGAGGTATGTTGCCGGCCCAAAAAACTTATGTATGCCAAATATAATTCATACTAAAAGATGCTGTCTGGAACAGCTACACCAGTCCATATTCCCATACAGTACATAAAGTTTTTTACATCCTTCTTTCACTATTGTTTTAATTTGCATTTCTCTAGTTATACTATATGCAAACACTTCTTATACTTCATAACTTATTCGCCTTTTTTGTTTTCTTGAGAAGTCGAACCTTTTGTTGCTAATGTGAAGGCATTTCTTATAATGCCTTATACATTATTTACATATTCTAAGTTAACCCTCATTGGTTTTAGATATTGTAATGTCAGGATTTTTTCCAATGTGATTGTTCTGTTAATTTTAACTAGGTGTCCTTCACTTAGAAAAGATTTTGCATGTCTATTTTACAAGCAATGTTGATGAACTCTTTTATCAATGTTGATAACTTATTTATTCAGCTTCTTCCAGTACTTTTCTTAATTTTATTGTTCTTGATCAACTTTTCCTAGAATGCAAATATACCTTTTTAATGTATAAATAAAGCATTTTTTTCTTTACAGGAAAGTATGCTTATGGAAATACCTTTGGATTTTTAAATATGTGCTGTATGTTCATGTATTACTGTGCTCTGTTCTCATATTTAGTAACAACAATTATGCATATAGTGTACTTCTTTTCTCTTCAATATCTATGATTTGATCTCTGTTTTATTTATTCTTTATTCAACTTGTATTTGATTCTTTAAAGTTTGTTCTTATGTCCCAAAATATAGAATACAAATGTGTATGTATATATGTATAAACTGCTTCTAATGTTGATTTGATTTCTATAATTGTTTTATCTCACATTTTTTTTCTGAGTCTGTGATCTTATTTCACATCTCTAGTCTTACTAATTTTTTTCTTCATGTTTTCTTCATTTCATTTGAACTCAAGAAGACTTGATTAATTAGATACTAATCTTCTGATTCATGGTAACTTTCTTCTAGTGGTATTTCCTTTAGAAACTTTTCTGTTCTTGCATTGCTCTTGTCCTACTCATTACATTTTTTTATCTATGTGTATGCCATTTCTTTCTGATTATTACTAATTTTAAATATGGCATATATACCTGGTTCAGACATTTGCTGAAATTAATTAAGAGTGAGAGGGGAAGGCTGAAGCATCCAAAGTTTAGGACACACTTTCACCATCTCCGTTTTGTCATCTCACTGAGGAAAGTCTTCTCTCATCATTTACATTTCTCATGTCTGTTGAGCAGAAAGTCTTCAGAGTTTTCACAGGAAAGCCCTATGCTCCCAGTGTCTATGATGTATTTAGCCCCTATTTATTTTTGCTTGGCTTTGATTAGCTGTCACCAAGATGACACCCTTCCTGTCTGCTTTCTGAAATGATAACATATCTATGGAGCTTTTTATTCAGCCTTCCCTCCCTCATCAGCCTTGCTTTAGGGCACCTGTATTCCACTCACATCTTCCAAGTAAGTTCCTTGATCCTTTCAGGGCTGTGTCAGTTTGAGGGAACGCTGCACTATTTAAAGATCTCTAGAGCTCTGTACTTGCTCCTGACACCTTCTGTCATTTGGTCCCAATAATTTTTTTTTTTTTAATTTTTACTTAGAGATTGTGACTTGGGCTGTGACTTTCTCTGAGTCCCACTGAAGATAGAGCGGCCTTCATTTTTTTATATTTGGTTGCTGTTTCAGCTGCCATTCAGGAGAAAATGAATAAAATTATAGAAGGGAAGAATGCTTAGTTTACTGAAGTTGGATAAAACTAGTCGGTAAAAATTTTTCTAATTGCTTATCTTTTAAGTCTTGTTATTATTATGAAATGTGTTACATTTTTCTGTGGGATCAGGTGGTCTGATGCTTTGTGGAGAGTGTGTAATTACTGCAGAATGCAAAATTTGGGACCCGAATGTCGGATATTGGTGCATGCCAAGAATTTGGAAATTAACATCCAAAGATCAGTGGAATTTGCTGAAAAACAAAATGTAAAGCTGTTAAAGCACTTAGTTTTTTAGGAAATCATTCTGATATTAGGGCAAAAATAACTAGTAAGTATTCATAGCACCATTGAGGAGGTTGCCTTAAATAATACAAATATATTTATTAGGAATTTTTTCAGGTACAAGTGATAGGAACTCAGTTGAAACTCTCTTAAGTAAAAAGAGAATTTATTGATTCTTGTGACTGGGTATTCTCGGAGTGGTGCTACCTTTGTCCTGTGTTGCTGCAAAATGTTGTTTATTTTCAAGTCATTCATATAAAAAACACACATTTTTCCCAGTTAGAATCCCCAGCAGAAAGAGAATTTCTTGCTCCCAATATCCATACACAAAAGATTCCGCTTTCTTATTGTCCATACTGCTTGACCCAACTTTGATAATGTCCATGTGAGTATGTGAGAATGGGTGGTAGAATCCCACCCCAATCAAAGCATGTGCACCATCACTGAAGTCTGTTCTGTTTTGTTTTGAGAGGGATTAGGGGAAAGAAGAGACCATAAGAATGGTCTATTTCAGGGATCTTTATTCTTTAGTTGCAGTTTGGAAAACCAACAACTCAGGGTATTTACCCTGGTAGCTCCAAGTTTTGTAGGGAATCCTAGGTTTAAAGATGCTGTTGTTTCTGGGGAAAGTGAATGAACTGGGCATCAGAGCTTCCACAATCATCTTAAATCACAGGGAGAAACATGAAGTCAGGGCGATTAAATGTAGATGAACCGAGTCTTTTTGTGACATCGTATCACTATATCAAGTCTTGGCTAATGAGGCTCTTGCTCTGATTTGTCTCCATATGTGAGATAATAGAGTTCTTTAATTTTTAAAAGGCATTGTAGATGAGTTATTCTGTTACTAATAATCAAAAACATGGGAGGTAATACAGCAGGATATTTCATTAATAGTGTCAACATCTCCTTTTCTGAGAATTAAAAATCTACTAATTTGGACATATAATATTCACTTAATGTTATTCTTATAACCCTTACTGTTGTTTCTAGGATCTTCCCCCTGTATAGGATACTCAACATTTCACTTTTGACTTGACTTGTTGACTTGGTTCTTCCTTCGGGATCCACCCAGCTTCTGCAGTATCTCTAACATGGATCTCTTTATTACTATTTAGTGATGATTTGAAGATTTATATTTTCTCTCCTACTTGATTCATTCCTACTTATTAGCTCTCACATGACTCAGCATAAATAAATGACCTACCTTCTAGTTTGCTCTTTCTAAGTGACTGTGCTTCACCTAGAAACTTGGCATCAGTCCTTCTGTGATGGGTTTATCAGGGAGCTGATCCTTAGCAGGAGCTTTAAACATTGGAGAATAATGGGAAAGAAGGAACAGTTGGTGGGGAAAATAAAAAGCAAAGATTTTTGAATTTATTATTTCCACAATCTTGATTCCATTTGATCCATGTTCTAGTATATTAAACTATGAATATATTGTTTTTGAAGTGTTGTTTGGGTAAAACAGATAAGCCACAGAGAAATCATGGTCTTATACAATTTAGTAGTTAACTCCTAGGAAAATAATCTATTAAAGATAAAGGAAATTGGGTGAAAAACTCACTTTTGGCTGTCTGGTCATTAACATCTGATGCATTCAGCTTTTCTGCACCACAGTTTGCAACTTGGTGATTTTCCCAGGGCTGAAGTCCAAGTGAAGCTCGTAGGCTTGTGGGCAAAAAGACCAGAGGACAAATTAGAGTTGTTTCTTGTTTATGTTTCCTAAATCTGAGTGAATGCCTTGTTAAAAATGTCAGTCTTAATTATATTAAATATCGAATATTGCATTCCTCCATATTAATCCATACTTCAATATATTTGTATTGATATTTGAGTAGGAGGTGATGAATGTCCCTCTTAATTATTGATTTGGCTATGACATTTCCAGATTTCTTTTTCGCCATATCCTTATTTTCTGCAACTGCAAAGTTTGCGTGGACCCAGTGTAAAAATTGCATTACTCATTTAGCTCTGTAGCACATGTTCAGCTTCTTGCATCTGAACTCAATATGGTGCATATTTTTTTTCTGCTTTGCATGTGAATATAATTCAAGATGCTTGTTTTAATTTTAAATGCCTACATGATCTGGCTTCTAACTAGGGAATATTTAAGGTACTTTTCTGATTATCCATATTTATTATTTTCCTGGGAGTTCAGAAGAATCACTGAACAGCCAGGTTTTCTTCTATGCAACTTTAGTACATTTATGTTGTTTCGATTGCTTTGAGGATACATACTTTAGTTTATCTCTTAAAAGGTAATCAAAGCTGTTCAACCAGTTGTGTGCAATTTGAAAAGCATAATTAAATTCATTAGTTGCTAAACAGCAAAGATGAGTTTATATTAAAAAAAAAGACTTCTAAATGTGTGGATGCCTACATTTTGAAAAACACATGTAATAAAAATGACAAATTATGTGGTGAACACCATTCTAAAATATTTAGATGTATTAATGGACTTGATCCTCCAAAAATAAGCACTCTAATTATTCCATTATGTAGAAGGGGAAACTGAAGCACAGTGAATAAATTGCTCAAGGTCAAGCAGCAAATAAATGCCAGTGTCGATCTAAATCCAAGCAGTCTACATTCAGAACTTGTGTATGTGATCACAAAGAGTACTGCTTTCGGATGGATGGATTGGGAAGCAATGGGCCAGGTGTAAGGGGAAGCAAAGAGTAAGGGAAGGTTTTAGGTCAAGTTCTACCCACTGCTGGAATTCAGAGCCTGAACTGCAGCAAAGGATTTACTAAGAATTACTAAGAATTAGGATTTACTAAGAATTAATGTGTGTGGGTGTGTGTGTGTCTAAAAGGTAGCCTACAACTTTTGTACCCTTCAGATTAGAGTGATCTAAGGCTGAAAAGGAAGCATTTTCACTGAAAATGAGATACATATTAGCTCATTACCTTCAATGATACATACAACATGTCAAATGAAGCAGTCCAATCTCAGAAAGCTAAAAAGAAGGTGAAATCGTGAATTATGTATCACCTTTACATGTCTACGTCTTCAATCATATATCTTTTGCTTCAATGATGTATCTCATATTCTGTAATTTTGTTCTTTTCCTAAATACTGAAAATAGCTCAAGTGAGCTACACAGCTGCTGCTTATGGCCACGCCTCTCAATTTCCACTTTTTTCAATCTCGAAGTATGAATATCTAACATCTTGTCATTAGTATCCATATTTACACTTTTTAAAATTTCATTATTTTTGTATAATAGAAAAAGGAATAGTAAATGCTCATGTTATTTATAATTTGTTACACTCAAACTGTACAAATTAAGATGGTAATGAACACAGAGTCACCATTTAATATTTTGAAATGGAGCTATATGAAAATAAATAAAAATCCAAATTTGGTATATAAAGGTAATATAATTAATATTTACAACATGTATAGGTAAATAAAATATATGAATGTCAAGGATCTTAACATTGAGTTAGATACATTGAGTTAGATACATTGAGTAACCTCAATGTATCTAAAGCTGTTGTGAATAAAAAAACTGTGTAAGTTTTCTTTTTTGACTTGTTATATACTGTGTTTATGCCATCATGGTATTTGCAATGAAAGCTACTGTTAGCTTGTGGCCTAGGGACATTGCATAATAATCAGGAAAATTGGACTTCCATATCACTTATACTGAAATGGCTGGTGAGTGACTTACTTTAGCTTTTTTTTTTTTGCCTCTGTTTAATCATCTTCAAAATGAGAAGACTATCTACCTAGTTGTTAATATAAAATGCTGTCAAATTATTATACATTTTAAACTAATGAGTCTGTGGTCATTTTAAATACTGGAATGAATAGATAGTAATTTTATAAGTTGTTGATATATTATAGAAATAATACAGAATCACCTCAAGTTTTTCTCCTTACAAATTAAATTTCTAAATCAGAGGAATCAGTAAGGTCTAATGACCATATTTTAATGCAAAAAAACCATTTCAATTACTATGACAATACCGTATATGCATTTTTTCCTTCATGAAAACATTACTGGATTTCTCAAATCAAACCCTGCATGAGAAAAAATCTATTACATCTCAATATAAGGATCCGACAAATGTTATTTAAATCTTCATGCCTTATTTAGTTTGTATGATACGTGCACATGCATACATATATAATCATTTAAAAACAATGTCTAAATGCACAATGCAATTTTCCCAGATTGGAATGGAAAAATTTAGGTAATTACTGGAGCAAATCTCAAATTTCTCCTCCTGCCCCCCCCTTTTGCCCTTCCTTACTTTCCTTTCTTGTTTTTCATCACTGAGCAAACTATGTTTTCAAGCCCATACTATTACACTAGACACTACTCTTGCTGGCAAGACCAAAAGGGTCCTTACCCTTATGAAGCAGACATAGTGTTGGGAATGGAGGAGCAAGGAAAAAATAAAGCAAATAAATAAACACAGTAAAGTTGGATACAGTTAATATTTTAAAGAGATAGTTGAAATTGATGATATTGCAGTTTGATTGATAACAGAGAGTGACTAGGTGGCCTCTTTGTGTTGGGTGAGTAGGAAAGTTTTCTGTGAAGAAGTGATGAAGAAATTATGAGGCAGTTGTGGGAAGAAGGGAAGAAAAAGATTAGGGCAAACAAGTAATGGGAAGTCCCTCAGGTGGAAAAGAAGGTAATTGAAGCTGGAGCAAAGTGGATCAGTAGGGAATTAATAGGGCAATTTTTTGAATTCTATTTCATTATTTAGATTACCAATTAGTAAACATAAATATCTACTGGTATTGACCATAAACCTTCTCTCTCAGCTATACTGGGAAGCTTATGCACTCAGAAGTCACAAAATCAATGTTTTGAATCATGGCCTTGCACGTTATAGCTAGGGGATAACATCTCAACCTGTTTTCCCTTCTTTTACATTTGGACAGTGTTATCTAATTTTCAGAATTATTGCAAAGTCCTGTAACTATTCATTTTCAAATATTTCAAGCTCTGATGTTTGGCAAAGCTATGATCTCATCCATTCATATATGTAACTTCTCATTTCCTTACTAGATAGTCATCTACTGATTGACAACAACTGTGAAAAAAGTAAAGTGGTAGTTGTCATTCCTTACTTTAGCAGGCTAGGAGATGACAAGGATCAGAGCTGAGGGATGATCATGAGCAAGGTGACTCCTCTATCAATAAGCAAGGTTTGGGATCCTACCAACGTAGTGATCCAAGATGAAAACTGGAGTTTTCCCAAACTACTGGAGGTTTTTCCTCTCTAAATGTGTGTGTGTGTGTGTGTGTGTGTGTGTGTGCATGTTTGTGTGTATAATATGTAGAAGAATAATGTGGGTGTTATTCCTGGATTATGGTAGAAGAACATGCATCAAAGTTATTGAAGCACATTTGGCACTAAATAGTTCTCCCTCTGTCTCTATATTCTCTGTCCAAAAAATTCGGTCAAGTGAAGAGTGTTTAGAAGCAGATAAATGGAAATATGTATTACTGTTAAGAATGACACTGAGTAAGATGTGTATTTAAAGGAAGCTATGAGAAGAGGGAAGAAAGCAAGGAGGAAGATCACAGAAGATATCATTATTAATACAGTGAAGTGTCACCTGTCTCCTGAGAGGTTTCCATTGTAAGTTTTGCATACGCATTTTACCTCTCAGCCAAGTTTTCCTTTTAGAATGACAAATGACAAGAGAAGTATTGGGTAAATAATGTTAAGTATTGGTATAGCTTCTTATGAATTCTCCAAATGGCCTTTTCTTATACAGGTTACCTGTGCTTTTTTTCAGGTGGAATTTGTGAATCGAGTATGGAATTCTGCCTTTTCATTTTCTCTCTATTGCTTCTTCTTTTCAAAGTTACTGAACTAAAAATGATTCTGCTCATGTAGCTGGACATGCTTAGAATATAGGACAGGATTTGTTACATTTTTCTTCTTGTAGACAGAATCTATTTGAGCTTGAATCAAGGGTCACAGAATAAAACTAATCAAGAAAATAGAGAAACATATGTCTCTCTATACTCTGGCAATAGAAACTGAAATACCTTTGGCATTGTGCCCACCTCCTAATCCATCCCTTCTCCTTGGGCACCTTTGTAGGTTCCACCTCTGCATGACTCTGCTCACAGTACTAAGGGTCAGGTGTATTTATCTTTCCTCTGTTGGGACAGCCTCCTTTATATTTATGCTCCCTAATTTGATATCTCTGGAGAAAAATTTGCTCCTGGTATTAAGACTCACATATCCAAACTTTCTTGACTTCTCCATTTGATGTTTTGCTGATGGCTCAAAGTGTAATAATTTGCTTACTCAGACTTATTTCTGTATTCCCATCTTGCCCAACAGTACTACTTGTCATCTATTTACTCATCCTCAGAGTCCGGAGAGTATCATTGATTCTTCACTCTCCATTAACTTTCACAGTCTCTCAATTATCAAGTCCTGTCAATACTGTCTTCTTAATTTCCTATAGATCTGTCCTCTACTTTCCATCTGCATTGTAACTACTGCCTCATTTCAGACAACTGGAAAAGCTCACCTAAAATACTGTATAGGTCATAAATGGTCTTCCTTCTTCCACTCTTGTCCTCCTCACCAGTCAATTAAATACACAGCTACCATGTGATCTTGTCACTTACCTACTTAAAATCCTCAAAAGATTCATCGTGTTCAGTTAAAACCCAAACTTTGTGGGCATGGTATGCAAGGCCCCTTCAGATGTGGTTCTTAGTAAATGGTTGGCAATCTTCCTGCTGATTTTTCTTCCTCCCTTTCTGCTCTCTCCTCATGTAGGGACCCACCTAGAAATCCAACTACATGATACTTCTGCACTTGCTAGGGTATGCCATTGCTTTCTTTTTCTTTCTTTCTTTTCTTTCTTTTTTTTTTTTTTTGAGTTTGTTTATTTAAGTAATCTCTACACCCAATCTCGGGCTTGAACTCATGACTCCCAGAGATCAACACTCACATGCTCTTCTGACAGAGACAGCCAGGCTTTTTTATGTTAATTATTTGTACCTACAATATTTGCTTTCTTATATTAATTATTTTTACCTATAATATTTGCCACTGCTTCTGCCTCCACCTTACTCTCTCACTCATTTTCTTCATCCATTAATGTAGACATCAGCTCCTCCTGAGAGATTTCCCTGATTTTCCAAAACCAGAATTAGAAGTCTGTATGTGCTCCTTAGTAAGAGAGCAGGGAGTGCTAATTACTACTGGGGGCTATCACATTCTAGTGTGGCTATTGGATGGTCTATCCTCTCACATGTACTCCTCTTCCTCTCACCCGTTAGACCATGAGAAGTTCAAATCATAGTAACTACTTAATAAATATTTGTTAAAAAAAATTGAACATATGTCTTCTTCACACTGAGATGTTATGTAGCTAAATGATGCTATCAGAATAGATGTGGAATATGCTTTTTCTGCCTCCACAGATGAAGCAACTATGAAGTATGTAAAAAAACAAAAACAAAAACAAAAAAAAACCTCATCATATTCTATGATCCTAACTACACTCATTATTCACAAGATAATTATCAATAAATTATTTTTGTTAATAAAATCATTCTTCACTCGTGGGAATGAATCTTTTTTATATTTAAATATTGGCATAATCATCAAAGTACATAAATAAAAAATTTAAGAATTTTTTTCCTACTGAAAAAAAGAGACTGGAAGTTACTCTCAAAAGTATTCTTTAGAATAAAAATTAAATCTAGAGAATCAATCTTCTTCCTAATCCTCATTCTTGATATTTTCTATTCCATCAGCATAATAAATCAGATTTTTGGTGAGCATTCTTTTGTTCATGTGTGAGTACTCTTTTGTTCATGTGGGACCAAACTAGTCCATTGCTCTGATCGACACCAGCTGTTCATTAAGGGGCTTAAAAACACCACTGAGTAAGGTGCAAAATTGTGATGAACAGAACCATGTTTGAAAATTGTTTCTAAAAATCGAATGTCATGTTATGGTAGAATGAAAGCTTTCATACACACAGAGAGAAAAAGAGTCTATGAAATGGGATATTAAAAGAACACAGTGGAAAAAGGAAACCAAGATAAAAAGAGTGAGAGAGGAAAATATATTTTAACAGCAGGAAATGACATGACATGACATGAAAAAAAAAACAGAATAAAAGTGTAGAAAGACAGGTGGGAGAACTTAAAGTCAAAATTAATGACAAAAAATAAAAAGTCTGCTTAAAGAAAAATGAAAAGAAAATATAAAGGACAGCAAGAGGATCTTTCAATTATAAATTTAAGTTTCAGTGCTCAAATATTGCTTTATTTTAAGAATCAGGATAGTTTTTTATATTGCATTATTTTTAGAATTTTCTTTAATTTAGAAGTGTAAGATTCTTCACTGTGACAATGTGAAAGCACACAGAACATCAGTGTATCATTACTGCAGTAGTCTCCAACCAGTTTGGCTTGGCACATCAGGATACCTTGTACCATTTGTATCCTTAACAGCTGGGCTATGACACTATTAGCTGAGCAGGTCTTTACTTATTTCTTTAATTTTTTTTCTTTTTAATACATTTGCTTCCTCGTCAAATGTTATCTGGGCATTTGGAAGCCAAATAATTAAGTCTGTAACAATAAAATAAGGGTGCACAGCTCTTTTTAAAGTAGAATATTATTGCTTTACTCTAACGTCCAGCTTCTCAGGAATCTATCATTCAATAGCTAATGTTTTCTTTTTTAGTGGCCCCCTTTTTTGAGTCTGTTACTGATACTAAATATTATAGTTTTATGCCAAATGTCTAAAGGCAGACTATTAAAATAAAAATATTAACCTGGAATATTAAAAAAATAAACTTCATAGAATTATCATAACAGCAGATAATAAGCTCCAGAATATAAACCAGATATTTTCTCCTCCCACGCCCAAACTAACAATGCAGTGATATAACATTCTCATTTGGCAAAGTGATTACCAAAGTTCATGCCAAAGAAACATAAACAAATACATAATGCTGGAGCTACAGCAAATGTGAAAAAATATTAATTTTCTAGGTTTAAAAGCTTTTAATGCATCTCTACATAGATCTGCTGAGATTTTGCTGTTTTGAAGGTACTGCGCTAGAAAGATAAGCCACAGGCAGGGGAGGAGACAGACTACAGTAAGTACTAAAAGCAAAATACTCACAGGGGTAGGAAGTGTTCAAAGGAAGAAAGGCATCATCATTAGCTGGGAGAATCAGGAAATCTAATAAAGGATATGTCATTTGAGATGGGTGGGATTTGGAAGATAGAGACGTAGGGTATGACTATTTCTATGGTGATTCTTCATGTTTAGGTACTCATCCTATTTTATCTAATACTATCTTTCTGCTGATTTCTTCTTGCATTTCCAACTTTGTGTCTAAACCCTCCACTACATGACGTCACTGAGAATTAGCCATACCAAATTAACCCGTCTCCTGAATAAACCAAATTTTTTTTTTTTTTTTCTTAATCACTTAGCCCCTGCTCTTACTATTGTCCCCACCCCCTTCACTGCTTTCTTCCCTTACCTTACAGAGGTTGCAAATGAATATAGAAGGTTTGGTTCACTTTCAAGGTCTTCCTTGACCTCTCCATGAATTAAGTGTGTTATCTCACGGGGACTTCCACATCTCTTTATCTGAGGTTTGATAACCTTGTCTCCTATTAGGTGTCACTACGTTTCTAAACTTATACCTCCAAGCAAAGTATGAGATTCCTGAGAGCCTGGGGGACGGGTGGTAAAGTCTCTGAGTCTTCAGGCCCAGTGCCTCCCAGGTGGCTAAGTACTGAGGGACTCCGTATACTCTGATGAAATCGGTGCTTGGCAGGAGATAATCTGCGCAAACATAACGAGGGCTGGTACCCCAAGGTTCTTATAAGCAGCGGCTGATACGGAAAAACCAACTCTAGACTCTTGGATTCACTTCTTCCTCTGACTGTCTGGGCCACTAAGGGGGAACTCCGAAGGCTAAGGCCGTGCAACCTGGAAGCCCACAGCGCTACTAGCAGCAGCAACAGTAATTTAATTGCCACTGCTAGTGCTAAACCTCCAGGCGTTTCGATGTGGTTTCCTAGCCCTCATCTAAATGTTTCTCTTTAACGGCCTAAAGTGGCCCCTTCATTCTTACCCAGAATCTGGGAAACACCTTCCTTTCTTTCAGACTGTGAGAAAAAAAAGATAAAAAAAGGGGGGGCTTTCCTGAGGCTGGGAGCGGGGATTCCCTCTCCACGTTGGTGCACTCTCCACCCCGCTTACCCGAGCCGAAGGCGAGCCCAGCGAAGGCGCGTGGGGCACCTGGAACACTCCCGACACCCTGCGGCTCCCGCCCCCCGGGAATCCGTTAATTAGGCTCGCCCCCATTGGTTGTCCCCAAGGCACCTCCATGCCGTCATGGTGTTATGCTAATGAGGGGGAGTCTCATTGGCTCGGCCCCCCCGCGGCAGTTGAGAAGGCTCCGGAGGGGAGAGCCGGGTTGGCCGCAGCTGGGACCAAACCCACCGTCCCCCTCGCGCCCGCTCGGGGCTGTGCCGCGTGCACGCCCGCGCGGGGACCCGCTGTCGGGATCGCCCTCGGAGGAGGCTCCTCGACCTGCCTTTTAGGAAAGTGCCTCCCCAGCGCGCGGCTCGCACGCCTCCTCCCCTCTTTCTAGGCACCGTGCGTGTTCTGGTTTTCTTTCTTTCTTCCTTTTTTTTTTTTTTTTTTTCTTTTTCCGCGAAGTAACTTTTGCGTTCCCGCCTCCCCCGAGTCCTGGGGACCAGAGGCGGTGCCGAGCCTGGGGGCGGTTCCTTGGCAGCGTAGATTCTTGTCAGAGCCAGACTTTTGCTCCTGGGCTCGGTTTGCATCATCCCCATCACACCCTCTGGAGAGAGGAGCCAGCCCCCTTTCAGCCTCAGCTTCCGGCACGGAGCCGACCCCTCCCCCCCCCGAGCCCCTTCCCCGTCCCTCTGTGGCCCCCCACATCTTGTTAGTCCTCCCCCTCTACTCCGCAGAATTTTCTTTCTCTCTCCCTCCTCTTCTCCATTCGTCGTTTTATGTTTCCCACTCTTTGAGGAAGGATGGTTGATTTGGAGAGCGAAGTGCCCCCTCTGCCTCCTAGGTACAGGTTTCGGGATTTGCTGCTAGGGGACCAGGGATGGCAAAACGACGACAGGTGAGTGGTGCGGTGCAGTTTTGCTCCGGCAGCACGACTGAAAACGAGACAGAGATGAGGGAGGCTGAGGGGGAACAGGGGAGAAGGAAAAGGGAGCCCGAGACTGGGGGAGGGAGTGAGAGGGACTCTTTGATACGTCTCTCCATTTTGACTGCATAGAGCAATTGCCGTGGACAAGGAGCTCTTCCTTTTCACTTTCTTATCCTTGCAAAGCATTTATTGCATTTATTGGGTACTTACTCTTTTGTCTATCTGCGCTTTCCTACGGTGTGTATAAGGCTGCTGCTAGAGGTACAATACATCCAAATGGCACGCAGTGTCAGTGCCATATAATTTTCATTTTTTTCCCTTTAGGTGTTCCTAAAATTTGAAAAATGTATCCAAGTTGATTGAAAAAGCACATAAGAAACTTAAAATCTCTTGCACCCGTTTGCTTACTCCTTGTCAGTGTTTTCTTGTTAAGGTGTTCACCTGCTACTGGGAATTTTATGCTCTTTAAACATTTGGAGTTACAGACAGACAGTTGGTTTAAATATGTAACAGGTAGTTAGGGAAAATGACGTCAACTGAAAATACTCAACTTTGAACAGGTAACTGTGACTGTAGTTAGTAATGGTGTTTGTAGAGCATGACCCAACCTTTTGGTAGTAAATATATTTTTAACCCAGCTAGTATATATGTCACAAGATTAAAACTAAGTTTGAGAGAGAAAATGTTTATTACCAGCAAAATATTGTTCATGTGTTTTATCCAGAGCATTACTGCTTTACCTAGTTGAACTTCTGAAATTCCTCCAGCTATCTGATTCATTATTTAAAAGGCACATTTTATGTTTCATTGAATTTAGTATTTTCTGGAAGAGTCATTTCATGTATCACATGTCATATGTTTTTGTTTTTAAATGAGCTATGTATACTAACCAGGCTCTTAACTCAATTGAAATATTTCCCTGAATTTCAGTTTGGCACTAATGTTCTATTTTAATTACAAAGTAGATCCATTATTGGTCCTATTCAAAAATCTCATCCCGATTCAGCACTGGGAAATATTCTTCTTTTCTTCCTCACCATTTCAGCTCCCAATACCAACTCCTGTCTCTACACACACAGGCTTTTATCTTGGGCATAAATTTTGGACTTCTTCTTTGGTTTCATAGTAATTTAAAGGGGTATGGATGTTTCTCAGAGGGTAATATTTCAATGCAACCTCTTTTTAAAGGCAAAACACATGTGTTTGTTAAGAGTTAGAAGAACAAATGCCAGTTTACCAGTATGCTTGGAAAGTAAGGTGTTCTGGATGACTGAAGAGAAGGAAATGAATATCTAAATAAATAGTAAAGCTAGTTGATGTTTAGATAAACTGTATTAGCCTGGTTAAATGACTTACCAAATGTACCATTATGATTATAGGGATGGAATCTATATTTATTACTTCAGGACCACGGGATCATTATGTAGAATAGAAATCTTCATTCTAGAAATTGTGAGATGGACTGAATTCACAGAGGATATATTTTGGACTTGTGGTGACAAGATTGTTTGTTTTTTAATATTGTATCCAAGATGTTAATTGTTCATGAGATTCCCTTCGTTTTTCCAAGGATGCTGCAGATATATTTCAGTAACTAGGAATTTTGGTTAGTTGAATACTACCCAACTAAGTCACTGCTATTTAAAAAAAAGTTTCACCTAGTTAGTTAAAATATCCATTATAATAGAAGTTTATGCTAGCACAAGTTTAACTTAAAGTCTAGGCCATATTTACTATTAAAATAAGGCATTAAACATTAAAAAAATTGTTCATCCATTTGACTGATTTTGTGGCTTCATGAAAACTTAATATCGAGTTTTGGTTCCATTTGTTGTCCTTTGAAGACAAGATCCTTGGGTTAATAGTGACTCAGACTTCAAACCTTTGCTTATTTTCCCACTAGCTGAGTCTCCTTGGGCAAGTCATTTGACCATTATGAAATTCAATAATCTTATTTCTGTAAGGTACAAAACTAACACTTAGTTGGCACTAAGCACTGGCTAATCTAATATGTTAACTACGCTAATGGTGTGTGTGTGTGTGTGTGTGTGTCTGTCTGTCTGTCTGCAGGGGTTTATGTGTGTGTGTGTATTTTAGGAACTAGGAAACTAAGCTTCTGGGAAATTAAATGCTCCTTTTGGTAATATCTTATAAGTGCAAGGATGACACTTGAATTTGGTTCTTTGTGACTCAGATTCTTCAAGAAACTCCTAAGTTCTTTCCATTAAGTTTGTTTGAATTTGTAGGAATAATTAAGCAACATCTAGCACAGTTTATGTGCTCATTAAATGTTAGTTCCCTTCTTCACTTCTGATTAGCAATTTTCAGTTCTTTTGTTATGTTTCTTCAGAATTCTAAATTAATATGCAGTAAGTAAAGTCATCTCTTTTGTCTTTGTTGTGCTCACAACTTCCTCTTCGCAACTGAGTCTAAGGAGCTTTCTTATTCGACTCAGTTATCATGGACTAAATTCCTATGGAGCTGAAGAGAAAGCATTCTTTCATAGAAGAGTGGGTAGATGGTTTATACCAACAGATACATTTATTTTATGTTCATATTCTTTAGGCTATTTTCTATGAATATTCTTTGCCTGAAATTTTTATTTTTTGTTTTGTCATACTCCCCCAACCCCATCACTTCCCCAGTCTCAGGGGCTCCCCAGGTCAAAAGTGCCTCTGAGTAAATGAATAAATAAGGAATTGTTAGATAAATACCTTAGCTTTCTAACTCCTTGGTTGTGATAATTCTGAAACATGTTCTACACTGTTTCCAATGGGACAAACTCCAGTTGCCCATAGTTATAATTGGTTTAATAACACAAGCTTAATTGGATTTCTTCCCCTCTCCCTCCTACTGGTATTTTCTGGGTTCAGTTCCCAAATAAACTACTTATGCTCCAATCCTTATCTCAAGGTACGCTTCTGGGGGAATCTGAACCAAGATTGGGTATCTTCTTCTTCTAGAGTCATATCCTAGAAATGATGGAGAAATCAGCTGATGGGAAAGTAGGCACATTCTACTTTGCTCTTCATGTTAAGAATTTTAAATTATAGGATGCCGGGGTAGCTCAGTTGGTTAAGTATCTGCCTTTGGCTCAGGTCATGATCCCAGGATACTGGGATCGAGTCCCACATTGGGCTTTTGGCTTAGTGGAGAGCCACACTTCCTCTGTCCCTCCCCCTGTTCGTGCTCTCTCTCTCTTTCTCTCTGTCAAATAAATAAAATCTTTCAAAAATTTTTTTAAATTAAATCTTAATAAGGCATGATTGACGGTCTTGTGAAAATGAGTAAGCCATTATGATAGATGTGTGGAGTGTGGTGACAGGGGAATTTTGGTGGTCTCTACACCATAGATTTTCTGCGAACTAACTTTGGATAGTCCAGTTTATACCGTATCACGTGTATACACGTATACACGTATACACGTGCTTAAGTGTATACGTAACGCAATATGTATGTACATGTGACACACTTATGTATAGAATTTGTGTGTGTGTGTATGAATCAGTGTCATCTTTACATAATTCCCTCTCCCTGATTTGCATTCTGATGACCTTTTCTGAGTAGGACATAAAGGAGCAGAGTTAGACATAGCATTGTAGAGAACTGCACATTTAGCACATGAATAACATTAGTTCTCTGAGGCCATGAAATAACTTTGAGAGTTGCTAAACGAGAACACTGCTAATGCTTAGAGATGTCTGTTGCACATATGACTCACATTTATTTCTTTGGCATCCTGAGTAAAACACAAAAATCTAATTCAAGTGGCTCATGAAATATTTCTTAATGGTCATTTATCCATTCAGCTAGTATTTGACTACATGCTGCATCTCAGGGCCTTATTAAATTAGGTTTTAAGAACAATATAAGGAGGAATGTGAAGCAGTGCTTTGTCAGGAGGTGTTCACAGATATATTTAGAGATAAGCTCCCTTCCTGAATATTGACAGTATTGTTTATGCTATGATGATGTTTTTGCAGAATTTCAATTTTAAGATTGTCAAGAAGATCATACACCCTTTTTCATAGGCTAGTCAGTGTTATTTGAAAATAAAATAGCTGAAGTCACTGTATTAGGGGTGACTCAAGGTATTCTATATATTTTGAATCTAATATTTAGGATACTTAGTATCCTCAAAGTTACTCTACGATTAAAACTAATATGATTAGAGACTGATTTTAACTGGTTTATATGGAAGCCATTCTGTAATATGTAGAATTGTTGCAGCCTTCACGTCTACTGTTTATTGTTTTAACATTTCTACGATTTATAAGACAAAAAAGATTTAGAATGTTCTTGCAGTTTAGTGTTGGTAAATTTCAAGTTTTAAATGTCTTAAGACAGAACAAGCCCTTCTCATCCTCTCATGACTTAGCAATTTTAAAGTTTGGAACACAATGCCCTTGATGTGGATGAATTGTCATGACTGTTGATAATTCAGTAATTGTCATTACTGTTAGTGGACAATTCTCAGTTGCAGTCACAGAGGAGTAGGCCTTTTATTTAATTAACACCATTCAGTTTTCAAATATCTGGTCAGTTATTTCAACTCTAGTAATTTTAAGTGTTATCTTTCATATTTTATAGGTGGCATTTAAAAGTAATGTAAGCAAGTCATCTAATGCACTGTAATAATTGAAATCATAAAAGGATTTGAACAAAGAGTGCAATTCAATGAATTAGTAGTTTAAGAGGTATTTATAAAATGGCAAAAACATGTTTGGAAAGCTTTTGGAGTATATGTAATTTTAGATATCATACAATGCAAATATATTAATTTATTTTATAAAGTTAAATTGGAAGAACGGGTGTGGAGTGGCACATTTATATAACCTACTGATTTTATCTCCCTTAATAAAATTATATATTATTTTGAAAAGTAGCCATTTGATATAAAGTACTTATTATAAACTAGTAAGTTCAGGTCATTAAATACACTTTTAAAATATTTTGTGTTAGTAAAATGA